CATGTATATATTGTTTTAAGGTATTTCGTTATCCTTGTAAATTAAGAGAGTATATGAAAAGAAATAATCAGTGCTCACGAAAAGTGACTGACTGCCCACGAGAAATGACTTACTGCTTACGAAAAATGACTGACTGCCCACAAGAAGTAACTGACTGCCCACGAGAAGTGACTATGCCTATTTGATTATTATTGTCATAGTTTTATAACTGATTTAGGATAGAACTATGAACACATGACTAGAACATATATTTTTTTCAGATAGCAGGATCATCTTTATTTGTATGAAAACTAGGTATAATAAAATTTATTATTCTTGATAGAAGAGGTGTGACCACTATGGTCACAGTGACGCAGTATATTTTCTTATAATGATAAGCGTTATCCTTGTACTGATTGTGACAAACCTACTGCTACAGCTTGTGAACGGTATGCTGAACATATTAGAGGATATTATATAATGCAATATTATAATAAATTGCAAGATAAGACTCAGAGATTAGACTTAATAAAAGGTACGACTTAGAATATAGTATGCATTTTAGGTTTCTTTCAGCTTTTCATTCTGATTTTTTCCGCACTTAGAGGTGAGACTTAAGGTGAGACTTAGAATATGATATGTATTTTAGGCTTCTTTCAGCTTTTTATTCTGATTTTTTTTCTGCACTTAGAGGTTTGACTTAGCGTATATATCCTTAAAGATGTGATTTAGAGGTGAAACTTAAAATATGGTATGTATTTTAGGCTTGCATGGTCAGGCTCAGCTCAAATCACATCACTTTGTTTCTTGATTTTCGATGGTCCCTCTATAGGTAAGCAGAATAGCATAAAAGTTATTATTTATATTGGGTTTGCAATGTCAGGCCCAGCTCAAATCACATCACTTTGTTCATTGATTTTCAATGGCCCCTTCTAAGGCAAACAGAATAGTATATTTTTTTTAAATAGCATCCCCTATATAATAAGCAAGCTACTTTATTTTTATTATACTTTTTTTAAAACAATTTATAGCAAAATTAAAACATTTATATATTTTTTAAAACAATTATTTTTAAAATAATATATTAAAACTTAGATAAATCTTATTTATTTTTATAATAATAAAAAAATATTATTAAATTTTTTATATCTTTTATTTACCAAAAATTAATATTGATCAGTCGAAATAGCTATCACACACCATGAAATTGTAACACAATATGAAAGAGTTACTGCAAGAATTATAATAATATAATTTATTATTCTCAAAATATTTATATCTTAAAAATCAATTTAAAATATCAAATGCAAAATATTAATTTAAATCTATGATTATTAAATATAAATAACTTTTTTTTTTTTGATTATTGAAAATATTTTATATATAATTTTTATTCTAATAAATTTTTTCTTGTTTTATCAATCCAATATTTATTTCCCAACAAATGATATGAATGATTTTATGATTCTCATTATTCAACTCAGACATCTGCAGATCTTTTGTGCAAATTCAAAAAGGATAATGATCCCATAACTTATCAAATAATTTAAGGATGAAAGAGAATTAACTAATCTCTATTAATTTATTTATTTAAGTACCATTTTAAAGCTAAATTACAAATGATTGCTTGTTCTATAATTTTTAATATAGGTTAACTTATTCCCATTAATTTATGACTAAAATAATATAATAGTTATGAGGAAGGTGAAGATCCTTTATTATTCTTAATAGAGGAAGAACATTGTAACTGTTCTTTAACAACATCAACTCTATCAATTAAATCTTGAGTGTATTTAACAGCTTCTCGTCTTTTTTTCCTAGCTGTTTCAAATTCAGGAGGACAAGCAACATCATCTAAAGTAAGTAGGATTTGCATTAAGGCTTCCACAATATAATGATGAGTTTCCACTAATTTTGATTTAATCATATCAGTCGTATCACTTTCGTCTTTATCAATATCTTGTTCAGAAAGAAAAGATGAAATAGAAATTTCAAATGATTCAATTTGTGGAATTAATTTCGTTTTTGTTTTTTCAATGGATTCTGAAATTCTCTTTATCAAAGCATGTTCTTCCGGTGAACCAGTTGTTGTTTGAACCAAATCATTGGCCTGAATAAATAAATAATTAATTAATTGAATTTAATTATCTTTTTTTTTAAAAAAAGTTAGGATTATTTTTACATACGTTTGGTTTATTACCAATTAATAGTATTTTTGAAAATGGGTGAAGTCCGAACGAACCTAATTTAGCCGTATTATCTTTCATTACAGCTATTTGAAAATGAATCAATAATTCGGTCCCAAAAAAATAGAAATAAAAAAAAAATTTTTACACAAATACCTCCAGAAAACACCAATTTTTGTCCATTAACGGGCACACCAGTAATTTTTTTCAGACGTTCTTTTAATTGTTTCAAAGTAGTTTCCTCCAGCGATCCTGCCCCTTGTAATTCAAAATCAAGGTGAATCCTTTCTTTACTCCAGCTAACAATGATCTCTGGAGTTCTTTGGTTCTCTAATAAAAAAATTTAAAGAATACATTTATTATACAATTTTTGATCCATGGAATAGATCGAAAATATTAATATAGAATACCTTCCATCGACTTCATTGAGACTGGTAGCATAGAGAATAGTAGGGGCTTGGCGAATCGCCAGAGGAATACAAACGGAAGTGCTGTATCGACGGAAATGATGATTGTTCTTATTTAACAAAATTTAAACGACTTTGTAATACTTGTAGACCAAGTAAAATACCAAAAAAAATTTTTTTTTTTTTAAAAAAAAAAAAAGGAGTGAAAAATGGTTTTTTTCGGTTTATAGGTAGTCGTTACACAATTATTATACCAAAAAAATAATATCATTTTATATTTGAATTAAAATCCACTAATTAATAAAATTGGTTTATATATTTATTTGATTTAATTACTTTTGTTTATAATGTATCTCTGAACAATTTTTTAATTGTTCCGCAACCAACTCGGATGTAAGATCACGTTGCGGTTCGGCAAGTAATTCATAACTTAAAATAATAATAATAATAATTAAAATATGACAATGGAAAGAATTAAAAAAAATATTATTTTTTACTTACCCAACCAAAAACTTCTTAATAGTTGGACTTCTCAATAAAGCAGGATAGAAATGAAAATGTAAATGTGAATCATTCATATGATCTTTATCATCAACAGGAGCTTGATGAATTCCCATTGAATAAGGAAAGGAAGATTTGAAAATATTATCATATTTACAAGTGATTCTACGGATAATGTTAGCAAGATCTTGTAATTTATTCTTATTGCTATTATCATTCAAATCTAATAAACTAATAATATGAGATTTTGAAATTATCATGGTTTCATAAGGCCAAATAGCCCAAAATGGTGTTAAACATAAAAAGGAATCGTTTTCGCAAACTATTCGTGGTTTATGATTTAACTTAATCGTTTCAAGATATATATAATCACATAATAAACAGGAATGATTTTTTTCATAATAATTTTTCATTGAAATTAACTCTTTTGATGGTTCTTCTGGTATTGTCTCGGTACACCAAATTTGACAATGTGGGTGTGGATTTGAACATCCCATTATAGATCCTTTATTTTCAAATATTTGAATATAATTGATATAAGTTTTGGTTGACATTTCTTGATATATTTTTATCCATGATTGAATTACATGCAATATTGCATCCTCCGTCATTTCCGCTACGGTAATGTTATGCTTTGGAGAAAAGCACATTACCTTACATTCTCCTCTAACACCTTCAGCACGTAACAAATTCGAAAATTTATCTAAAAATAATTAATTAAAAATTTCAGTTGAAATGAATAATCATATCTTTAATTAAGAATTAATCAAACCTATTTGCTCCTGAGGTAAATATTCTGGTTGTTCAATTTTAACAGCTGCAAAATCATTGTTAAATATAAACGTATTTTCATAATTGGAATTTTTGGCTCCTTGAGCTCTTTCATTTCCAGGACAGAGATAACACGTTGGATCATAATCCGGCAATATATCATTATTATTGATTTCTTTTTGTCCTTGCCATGGTCTTTTTGTTCGATGTGGTGAACATAATACCCAAGAATTTGTTAAAGGGTTAAATCTACGATGTGAATGTTGTTCAAAATTAAATTCTTCTGTCATAATTTTTTTTTTTTTTTTGACAAATTCAAAAAATTTTATTTTTGACTTTCGGTTTGACAAATCATAATTGGTTATTATAATAAATGACGTAACTCTGTAAAAGAACAAAAATTTCCCGAATAAAATTTATCAGATTTCTTATGTTGTACAATTTTATTTATGACAAAAGGAACTTCAATTTTTAAAAAAGATTAAAAAAAAATTCCAAGTAATAAATAATTAGTATTATGCTATAAATACCATTCTACAGCTATTAACGGGAGGACTTTGTGGCCCGAGAACCAGAACTTCCTCCGTGATCACTGTTGGCGCTAGTATTGCTTGCAGCGCTCGGCCGTCTTTTAGTTTGACTCGTCGATATTGTTCCAGGACTACCAATGTTAAAATTACTTCCACTGGTGGTGCCAGATACTCCTTTATGGTCATTGTTATGAGAATGTGAACTATTTCCAACATGTTTGTTTGTTGTTGTTGAATGTAGAGTCGATTTATCGCGATGATCACGACCGCGTCGATTTTGTGCTGTCTGGCTGCTTGAACGTCCAAGAGAATGGGGAGCTAATAGATAATTAGAATTAGTATCAACGTTCTAAAAAGGAATAATAATGAATTTTTTTGGTACAAGTATGATTTACACTGTTTGCGTTTCTTCTCGTGTTTCGTCTGTACAGCTCTAAAATGAGTTAAAAGGTCTTGGAATTTTATACCATCATCTTTTGTAGGCTTAGTTGTTGAACGTTTGGTATCCGCTGTGGGCGTACTTAACGAATAAAATAAAAAATTTGTTAAAATGATATTTAATCAAAATTACTCGAAATTTTATAACATATCATACCTTTTGGGTATCAAATGTAAGAATCCCATTGATGAAACACTGGTCAGCCGGTTTTTTAAACTGGCGAACGCACTACTCTGTGGTAAGAGCATTAACAAACCATATAGACATTTAAAAAGGTAAGGATATTTGTCTGGTTCGAGAAGTTGTAAACGGAGATCTGAAAATTAATGTAATGTTAATATCTTATTAATTATCGGGTGATTAAAAAAGTACAATTTTTTCATAAATACATGTAAATACTGGTGATTCTAATAGTTGGACAAGTTTATCGATCTGAATAAGAAGATTTACATTTATTTCCAAATCAGCACTAATAAACATGTTTAATTAGTAGAATTATTATGATAAATATACATTATATAATGTCAAATTATCAATACATACAAGCTTTGTAACAAATTTGCCGCATGTTCATATGCTTGCGCCAATAAACATAATGAAAATGTCGCAACAGGATTATGGCACCAAGATTTGTACAAAGCAGTGAACAACATTTGCCCGTCTTTCGTTTCAAGGCTTTTGAGTCTCTTTCGCAGATCCGAAAGATCAGGGGAAGTGATGAGAATGCTATTAAGGTTTTGCACCATGCTGGAAGCAAATTCTATCTCCTATATATTATAAAAACTAATAAATAATTGGTCGAAATGGAAAAATAATTAAACAGTAAACAAAGACATTATTTACCTCTTCCTTTTCCAATATTTCTGCAAAGCTACGGTAAATTCTTTCCGAATTCAGACTCATACATAAGTGCCGAATAATCAAACTACCTCTTGATTCTAATAAACGTCGATCAGTTCTAAATAATTTTAACAAATCAACCATAAAACGTGTAAAATATTCTTCCGAATTATAAGACAATTGAGCAAGAAGCTGAAGATCACGTTTTACGACCTAAACACAATCAAGAATAAATACAATATTTCAATTATAAAATAAAGAGATTGAAGGAATACAAATAATAATAATAATTTCTAACATCATCTGATGGATCTGAAAGAGTCTTTAACAATACTGGAAAAGTACCATCATCAATTGCAAGAATCTAAAAAGTTATTAATTGCGAAATCATTTTTGATGTCAATTACAAAATAACACTTTCTATAATCCGACCGAACCTTTTTGGATGCTTTCTTATGCAACATTAAAAGCCAATCCAAGCTTGCAACTCTGGTTTCGTCTTGTTCATTTTTAACTTGATGCATCAAAGCATCAACAGTTTTCTGGTAATCAAATGGATCGGCTTGTTCATAAATTGAATGTAGTGTATTATTATAATTGGGTTCTTTGGTGCTTCCCATATTCATTAAAAAATCCGTGGATGAATTAGATGATGAATGTGTAGAAGAATCTCTAGTCGCAACAGAATATGAGGGCGGTGGGGCAGGATTAGTTGGAGTTTCAATAATTAACTTATAAAGGCTTCGATTCACATCTATTGCGACTGTTTTGATATGTAAACCATAATGTTAAGGAAATAAAGACATCAAATAAATTATTTAAGACCTAAAAAAGGATATTTTTTACAGTATGAGCCAACGAAGGCAAAACGGCGCTTATTAATTGAGGTGTAAATGAAATTATGACATCTTTAGCGAGCGTTATAAATTCGTTTATCCATTTTAATGCCGTTGTCTGGATTTCTTCCTCTACACAGGAGTTAAGTGTAAAACGGATTAATAAAAAGTTAATGACAAACTTTTAACAGATAAAGAAACGTACCAGGCGAAGATAAATGAGGCATTAAGATTTCAACAATTCGAGTGTAATTAATGATAACACCTTGGCCTGGAACCCAAGAACCTTTTCCTCTTCCCTCAGTTTCGCTTATCGAAACTGCATCCCAATTGATATCTCCATCAACCGAATTAATAGATGATTTTACCAGTGTAACATCATCAACATCACCGTCACTATCCTTTATACTTTCCCCTGCATCAATAGTGGTTTCGGCCAGCTTTCGTTGTTGTTCAACGAAATAATTTTTCATAGCTTGTTGCTTTTGTTGTTCCTTAACCTCAACTGCCTCACGTATTTCAGCCAAGAAATTCGCGAGAACGTTAGAGGTTGCATATCGAACATCATGTGGATCACTTAAAAATTGCAAAAGACCATCCAAGAAAGCCGGTAAAAACGACACGAGCTCGAGATCTGGTATTGAATCCAATACTGTAATCCATGATACCAGAAAATTGCGTGTAAATGGATTTTTTGCTCGAATACGTTCGGATAATAAAGGAATAAATCTAGGTAATGAGAATGCAGTTGTACGTGGCATTGAAACTGTTTCCATCAGATCGTCATGTGAAATAGGATGAACTAAGACTGAAACGTATGTAGTAGACTGTTCTGCTACAATATCTTTAATTAATCTATCCAAAAGCTCGGCACCATTTTTAACGGAAAGTTCGGAATCTGCAGCCAACTATTATTGATATTTACGTAAAAGGTAAGAATAAAGAATATAAATTATGAAATTAAATTCTTTATAAATAAATTTTTTTGAAGGAAAATAAGAGTTTACCTTACTCATTGCATCAAAAACTTCATTGAAATATCGCAATATTTCACCTTTTGATACCTTCGCAATATTATACATACTTTCGCAAGCATAATATCTAACACGAGAATCTTGATCTGCGAAACAAGCAAGAACTGGAGGAACAATATCATCCAGATATGCTGCTACATCCTAAATAATTTTGGTTTGATGCTAATTAATTTGGTTAAGATCATTAAAGAAACGTCATTTTAGCAAGACTTACAGGGCCTAAAGCTATAGACGCGGCTGCCAAGGCAATTAATCCTCCATTCCGTGCATTAGGATTTACCGAATACGCGAAATCTTGAATAAGTTGATCGAGAACTCCTCGAATTCTTTGAACTTTATTCACACTTTCAGGTTCTCCAGCGTATTCACGAATAAGCCTGATAAAAATAAATAAATAAATAAAATAGCAATTGCGGAAATATTAATGATCTAAATATACTTTTCACATGAAAGTATTCTATTTAAAGAGCACATGCAAGGCATATTAGTGCACTTGGAAATCGATAATGCTTACTTTTCAACTTCTAATGCAGCGGCTTTACGCTTATCATATACTCGTTCATTAAGTCCACGAACAATTTGGGCGTTTAGCGCTGGGCCGTCTGCCATCGCCATGAATTAAAAATTCTAGGCAATTTAAATACAGTATTCGTAAGATTCACAGAAAGTAAATTCAGTTGGCTGTAAAGGTATTATTTACGATAAAATCAAACATCTATATTTAAAAATCATATGATGTCGTATTACGTTACATTTTGGATGTAATTTTATTTTATAATTCCCCTTTGTTTCTTTATTTTATATTATCACGTGCCCGTGTTTTTTTTAATACAGTGTAACTTGCAAATAGTTAAAACCTTTTTCGCATATTCTCTTTTCTTTATGAAATCATTTAGGCTTACCATGGAGAAAATTGAAAAGGTAAATTGAAATCAAAAATTTTCTCTCAACCATCTTTAATTAAAAAATTCAATATGACGTCGGCTGTCGTTAGAGGAAGAACTTTCGAATTAGAAATCGTTGTGAAGTTGAGAAAAGTCGGGATTGAATGCATGCATACAGGGTGAGTGTTTCTCACTGAGTGGTTTGTCGAGTCGCTGTGTATCTGAAGTTACGCTGCCACTAAGTGTAAAATGTCTGGGAATTGAAAGCACATCGTGGCCACGGTTTCGGCCGTGAACGTTCTTCCCAGTTTCCGATGTTCCCTATGCTCTTAATACGCTGGGGATTCTTGGTGAATAAGATACTCAAATCAACGAATTGAAAGCTCTTCGTGGCCACAGTTTTGCAAAAGTTACCATTGCTGTGAACGTTCTTCTTTGATTTTTGGCGATGATGACGCAAATACTCACGTTTATTATATATATACTTCAATTAGCGGACGAGGTGATGGTGGTATTGATATACGTGGTCGTATCGCTGGAATTCCTTATGTGATCCAATGCAAGAATTGGAGACGTAAAATATGTATGCTTTAACCAAATTTATCACTGATTATGGTTGGACTTGTAGTAATTGTTATTATATAAATATAGATCCCGACACTATACGAAGTTTAGAAGGGGTGCTCACCCGACAACCAAACGGGACTATCGGTGTCGTGGTGGCTCCCCTCAAAGGCAAATTCACGTCTGGTGTGATTGAGACATCTAGAACATCAGTATATGATATTATCCTTACGGATAAGGCGAATATTTGTAAAGATCTTATAGACTTCGTCGCTGGTCGACTAAATAGAAATAGTTTTAAATTTTCTTGTAAATATTTTTTTGTTTCTTTCTTTTTTACTATCTTTTTCATGTATATAATTTTATTTTAATAATTTTGTATTCTTGTAAATATATATATTTATGTCTTATCCGTGAGAGTTTTTTTATCTCTTGTATAAAATATTATATACATTAATCAGAATTTAATCTTAAATTGATTATATTTTGATTTAACGTTCTCTTTTAATAAAACATTCTTTTAAAAAAATAAAGTCTGTGCACCCAAATGACATCATTATAGTATTTAAAATTTTTAACCAATGAGAAGTTCTCTGACCCGGGAAAATTTTTTATGTAGTGCCAACATTATATATCCGTGTAACCGCTTTTTTGCTGTGATGTTATTTTCTACAGAAAATTTCATTGTTTCTGAATAGATTCTTTTGTCTCAAGTCCAGCCACCATAACAAAGTGTTTTTGGACATTTGGGAAGGGGAATTTTCGACCCTTCTGTGGATAATTTCCAAAATTCTCTAAAAAAAATATAACAAAATAGTTTGTCAGTGGGTTTTCGCGATGCCAAATGGATGTCGGTCAGAAATCAAAACAAAATCGTGCCCCGTCGCCTCAAGAGGTGTGTTTTCGCTTAAAATTTCATGTTTAAATACGCATTTGACAATTTTATTTAAATATTTTCAAACGTGTATAATAATTTAGGCGAAGCGATCTTATACGTATGATGATATTTTGCGGTCGGTTAATAAAAAAAAAAAAAAAAAAAAAAATATCTTTATATACTCATTTAATTCAATCTTTTGGTTTTTAAAGAACAGATTAAACAGTATAGAAAATTGTTTAATTGATATGCAAAGATCGCGGGATGATATAATGTCTAATATCGGACAGATTTTGGAAAAGGAAAAAAGCAAGCTTGTATTGGTAAATATCTTCAAATTTACGATTTAAAATTACTATTAGGTTAATCTAATTTACTTTCAATTCCAGCAAAGAGAGAAAAGCTCAAGCTCGTTACGACTTTCTCGGTATTATGCTGAAATTGTTGACAAAAGTAAAGCTCTTGAAGAAGGTGTGTGTTTTATCCTAGTTTATTGTATTACAGTATCTTATGTGCAAAATAGTACGAAATCATTCATACACAAAGTTCAAATAAAACAATCATGAAGATCGCCGACGTATAACCTCTTTGCGTGAAAATATTCGTTCTCGGAGAGTCGCTTTAGAGGAAGCTAAAAAGCGTTATCAAACTGGGAATGGATATTTGGAGGAAAGCCAAAAGATTTTGGAACGAGATCGGTTTGTTTTGTCATTTTTTGAGATTGGTTTTTGAAATTTGTTGTTCTTTTTTTTCTTTCAGATGGTCGTATTGAATCGGGTTGCTGTTCTTAGCGAATCCCTATCCTCGACAACTTCCAAACTTTGTGTTCGTCAGAGAGAACTTGTTGCAGACTTGCTTACTATATATCCTATAGATCCTGTAAATTTCTATGCAATAAACTTTCTTTGTTTTTTTTAAAAAATCAAGATAAAATTTACTTAATAAATTTATTTATTTTTACAGATAGATGCAAAAACATTCTCCTTTAAAATTCTCGGTGTACCACTACCAAATTCAGTATTCACCGGTATTTGCTGTCATAAATTATATTATTAATGATATTAATGAATTTTTTAATTATGGATTATGAATTAATATAATTTTTTTTTTAAAAAAAAACCTATAAGGTTGTGACGACGAACAAGTTGCTACAGCGTTGGGTTTTACTTGTCATCTCACATATATGCTCGCGTATTATCTCTGTGTTCCAATAAGATTTCCGATGATACCTATGTCCTCAAGATCGACAATACGTGACCCTATATCTGCTTCCTTAGGAGAGTCAAGACAGTAAGTTCATAATTGCTCCAAGTTGATTGTTTGTCTTCCCTTTACTATAGAATAATGGAAGTAAAGTTTTCAAACTATTACCAATATGAGAAATTAAACGAATGTGTATAAATATCAGGGGTTATGGCACCGAATATTTGGCATGCAGCATTCCTTTCAAAAGGTTGTTGAACTGGATTATATTTAGCATTATCCATTTGGATGGATTATTCACTAACAATCAACTTGGAGCGCTGTAATTATCGGAACTTTTGTTATTAAATTTATGTTTGCCTTATTACCTTTTAAATCTAACAATGTTATTTCATTTTATCATTTATTTTTAGATTTCCTTTACATGCCAAAGGAGTTGATGGTTATCGGTTTGAGTATGCAGTCTTTTTACTCAACAAAAATATCGAACAGGTATGAAAATTTAAATTTATACATAGTATTTGTTGACAATTTGTCCTATTATTAATTTATTAATTATATATATAATGTTTGTAGCTAATGAACTCGCAAGGAATAAACGTTCTGGATTTGAGAAACACACTTCCGAATTTAAAGTATCTCATTCTCAGTTTGTCTTCAGGTCAAAGTTCAAATCCACGTAAAATTATTCCACATAATTGTGCTATACCTCGTAACACGAATAATGCGATTGCAAGCACAAGTAATCTGGATCATTTATTGGAAGAAGAGGAGAGAGAAGAAAATTTACTTTCTTTTTCAAAATCACCTAATACTTCAAATTCCATCAGACCTATTGACTCCTCAAAGAGATCAAGGAATGTTATAAATACACTACAAAAGAGTACTATCGGATCACATCAAAAAAGTTCTCAAGGATTTGAATTAGGAGTAACATAATAATTACGCAAATAGTAAATGGAAGGACATTTTACTTAATTTAAATATTTCTTTTTAATTTATTTTTGACAATCAATTAGGGAAAGTATAGTATAATTATGTATTATAATTTCTTTGACGTGTATATATGTTTTATTAAATAAACATTGGACATGGCAATTTTTCGCACGTCAATACCTTTTCTATTTTGCATATATTTATTTGGACAGTCAGGCATATTAATAAAATTTCCAACTTCATTAAAGCATTATAATTTTTATATTGATTATATTACTATGATTTTTGGAGGCATTAAAGATTTATTTATTTGTCACGTATTGCTTCAAATCTTTAATTAATTCCTGATATAAAACTTGCTAAAATTTAATTTTAACATGATGAAAAGAGCAGGAGGTAAATAATTATATTCTCACATTAACTGTAAAGGATTTCACCAATAAAAGAAAATTTTTAGATAGTGTATGGTCGATTCATAATAACCTTAAAATAATTTTCATATTCATGTAATTTAAAAAATAAAAAATAATACTTTTTAAAGTTATTAATATTTTTTTTTACCTAAAAATTGATTTATTAAAAGAATATAAATATAAATTTAATTTAAAATTTAAAAAGATAATTAAATACAGTTGATTAAAAAATAATTCATCAAAATTTATTAATGTAAAATTAGTAGAAAAGATATGATTTCAGTGTATAAAATCTAACGTGACTCTCCAACAATTTTATTGAGATAATTAGATTATTTCAAAAAAAATAAAAGAAATTATAAGTAGTAAAACAAAACAAAATAATAACTATTTAAAATCTAAGTGTAAAACAAACCTATCTGTTTAGATCAACTGATCATCATCCAATCCTTTTTTTAAACTCAAAGAAACTAGTTAATTCATTAAGATTAGAAAAAGAAATGTTAGAACTGATTTAAAAAAATCTGATTATTTATATTCATATGTAAGAGCAAATTGAATCCAAAGTTTTCAATTAAAAAATTAAAAGTAAAAATTTATTGTTATTTGTGAGACAATTTTTAGCATTGACATTTCTTCTGTTTTATTTCAAAAGTGATATTATTATTCACATCTTTGGCATTAATTAAGAAATATTATAAAAGTCAAATTTATATATATAATTTGAATCAAAATTAAGGAATAAGGTATTACATAAACATTAATAATCAGATAATTCTAAAATAATATTGTATCTAATACAGTCAGGAATTTTACCAAATTTGGAAATCAATTCTAGAATGTTCAGTAGAAAATCCTTAAATTTGATTGGTTCATGCTTACTCTTCATATCCAAGAATTCAGTGGATTTTTACAAAATTTGTTCACTACCAAAACTATACAAATAATTAGTAAAAGATGTCTAGTTTTCATAATCACAAATAATTCCTCGAAGTCAACACTCTTTGAAAAAGTAAATGAGATCTAAAAATTCAAGATTGTTGTGAAATAAGTGAAATAGAAATGTAACCTCATTATAGAATTAATAGCAAATATTTTAAATAATTTTTTTAATGTCTATCTATTCGAAACTAAAAGCAAAAAATCTTTCATACCTCTTTGCGGAGTTAGTTAAAAAGTATAGTGAAGTTGGATTAAAATCCTGCAAAATAAAGAAAACACAAAAATGGCAATATATTAGTAATCAGGAAACAGCTAAGTGACTCAAAATTTATTATAATTATTTCCCGAATTCTCTAACCTTTATTTTTCTTTAGGAACTTATTCAATTTATGAGAGACATTATAATCAGATCATTGCTACTAATTAATTTTACCAACATCTCACAAATTCTGTACAGGAAAATAAAAGATTCTAATTTGATAATATTGATGAGGATAATGCCATCGATCATTCTGGTCTTATTGTTGAACTTGACAATGCTAAAAAGCTTTTAAAGCTTAATCAACTGGAAATTCAGCAAAAGTTGAAATCAATAACAGACCTTAACAACCAGATTGCACAATTGCAATAGCAACTCAATGATCAAAGAATTGAAATAGAAGAATTGAAGAAACAACTACAAAAGGCTTATGAGGATATGACTGGGATTTATGATTTATATAATAAACAATGTAAAAAAAATGAAATTCTTATCAATTTATGATTTGCCAATCAATAGGAACATATTGAAGCAATCATTAAAATAGTAAAAGCAGAATGTGAATCTTTATTTGATGATGTAGAATTATTAATCAGAGATAATAGAAGATTTTCTGTAGAGAGCCTCATGGTATACACTCATAAGATTGGCTTAATAAGCGTAATCAAGTTGCTATTATATTTGTTGAGACTCTTATTCATAACAACCATAACTCTGATGCTTTGAATCAGGAAAAAGTTTTAAAACTGCCATTGCAATCGATACAATATATGGAGCACAGCATGAAAAGTATGTATCAGAGATTCAGCTTGCAGTCTCAGCCATCAAATATTCAATTGCATAATTAAGAATGATTATTACTATTGATAACTATATTACAAGTTCAGAAAGCTATTTTCAGTTTTAAAAGTGGCTAGAAGAATTGTCAGAGCATGATGAACTATTACTTGAAGGCCTTTTATTTATTGCATTTGATAATGAACAAAGAGGACAAAAAAACTATCTTAACTGAAGCTCTAATATAGTTATTTTTCATATCATTACCAGTTTTATTGCTTTCAATATGACATCATAAAATAAAATTCAACATACTAATTCACCTTGGTTATATAATTCTTTTGACAGATTACAATATGAAGAACTTTTCGATATTGATTCTCAAATTCAAGATGTTCTTGATAAAGAATTATATAATTATTTTTCTGAAATTTTTAGTTTGTTGTCCAAAGAAAAATCATCCTTTACTAATACTATTGACTCTCTGATAGCATCTACAGAAACTAACATTACAAATATAAAGAAGTGTCCTAATTTTATCAAAAA